AATTAAAAAAATAACTGAAACTACAGGAAATAAAAAAAAAAAAAAAAAAAAAAAAAAAAGGAGAGGAGGAGAGGTAAGTCTGTTAGGCAGTGAGGGGGACTTTTCTCCCAAAGTAAGTCTATTGAAATGAATACTGAGGCAGATTGGAGCAGGAGGTAGGTGCACACACACAGATACACATGTGTCTGCATAAAACTAACATACCAGGTTTTTGCCCCAAGAACTTCCAATTTTCATGTAAATTGCAAGATTTTATAAAGTGGCTTATTGCTTAAAAAAGCGACAGTAGTTTTTGTGTATTAAATTTGCGGTAGTTTCAGCTTTTTTCTTTGTTTTTTTAAGAAATTTGCCCCAGGTAATTTTCATGATAAGCAGTCCATTAATCGGAATTTAATTTGTAGTAGAAAAACTGACATAAACAAAAATCGCAATGGCATTATTTGATTTAATTTGGTAATTAGCAAGTTGAAAATATCCAGGGGCTACTGAAACATGGATTGCTGGGCATAAAATTTACCTACTGGAAATACTGAAATACAGGAACATGCTTTTTCTTCGAGGAAACATGAGTGCTCCAGTACATGTCTATAGAGAGCAAAGCTCTGGTCCCCCAATTCTCTGCAGCTAGTGTTACATGACATTTATTTAGTTCAGATAAATCTGAGGCTAAAACTTCTGTTAAAAATCAAGAAACCTCCAGAGAAATAAATGACATCCCCCCCCAAATAATTGAGATTTGTTGCCGGGGTGTATTGCTCAGTACTTCAGAACAGAGATCATGTACAATGAGAGATGATGAACTCCCAGCTGAGCTGCTGTCCTCTTAGAGTCTTTTTGGCAGGATTATCAATGCAGGCTCAGCTTCCTCAGATTAATCGGTGTGCTGGCTCTCATACCATCGTACCCTGAGCACAGCAACCTCGGCACCCATGGCTGGCTCTCCCAGCAGGAGGGATGGAGGGATGCTCCTGAAGAACTGCAAGTTTCAGGAGGCGATTAGAGCTATGTGTGTATATATGTGTATATACACACACATTTTATATATATATTTCTCTCTATATATGCATGCATATTATGTATGTGTTGGTTCATTTAACAGAATGTATTTCACTATTTTGGCATTGAGGTTTCCTTGGGTTGCACTGTGAAAAATCCTCAAAACACTTAGGGCATTTAAAAAATAGGCAGTGCTGGACTTGATGTCTGATACGTATTTTGATAAAAAAATCCAGAAAGCTGACATTTGTGATCTGTACCCAGCTCTCCAGAGTGTTGGGATTTATTCTGGTGAGTGATTTTTTTTCTGATAATAGAGGGTAGACTGTTTGGAGGGTCATGTTTATTGGGGGGGGTGGGAAAGTAAACATGTTTCTTGTTGTGTTTTGTTTTCTTTTTCAAACAAACACACTCTAGATTTGGATGTTGATACCTTCCAAATTTACCAGCCACAGCTTACAGTTGCCAGAAAGCTCTTGTCCCAGGTTTGTGCTATAGCAGACAGTGGCAATCAGAGCCTGGATCTGGGCCACTTCAGCAAAGTAGACTTCATCGTTATAGTTCCCCGTTCAGAAGTCCTGGTGCAGCAGACCCTTCAACGGATTCGACAATCAGGTAAAAGGGAGGGGAGGGAAAAGCGTCTGTTAAACCAAGCTATGTGACATTACTAAATCCTATCTGGTATAAATGGAGAAGTAAGTTGCTCCAACATGTAATTTGCATGTCCAATATTAGCTCTGTTAGTTGGTATCATTGATGAATTCTAAATACCTTCCTTTCATAAATTGGGCCCAAGCCATGCCATGTAAGCATCAAAAGAAATTGCCACATTTGTGCAGGTCTGAGGAATGTATGACCTGGAGAAGCATTCAACTATTGAGAGAGGGAGTGGATGAGCAAATGTGGCTGCTCAGATCTTTTATCCCCTAGAGCTGTCAGTGCCATTTGTTCTAGGTACACATCTGTGCATATGCTCTCGTATGTATTAACGTAGGTGTATGTGCACAAAGCTCTCTTATTAGATAGATAGGTAGATAAATGCCTGAGTAATACATGCACATTGGCACAAAATAATCGCCGTATGATTCAGATGGTGAGTTTCCTTGTCTGGGGTTCTGTGTCTGACCATAGCTGGTACCAAATCCTTCAAGAGAAGCAAAAAAGTTTTAGTGGGCAGGTTATGGAATATGTCCCCCTTGAGAATGACCTCTGTTATCCACTCTGTTAATGACTGACACATATCCAGAAAAGCATAAAAGTTCTCTCTGCGGAGAAAATTGCTGTCTAATAAAACTAAGGACTATCTATATAGATGTTTGGTCCTTTTTAGCTCTTGATCTCTGATATCTGGGACTAGTGAAGCCCTTAGGATAGTTGTGTATTTAGGATTTTTTTTAATCAGCCGAAATTTTTTTTTTCTGCGTTCACCTTCATCTAACAATACCTTGCATTTCCATTTGAAAAACCGGAATATGAGCCTTTGGTGTAATGTGTCTGTGAGTGGTTTTGGGTAGTTGTTGGCTTTTCAGCCTCTTATTTTCTACTCTGAACTAAACAGTCCCACACTTTTTGGTTGTGCAGTTGTGCCCTGATATTGCTCAATATTGCAGTCCATCTGTGTTTTTTTTCTCTGCTTTGTACTATTTTACTAGTAAAATGAAAAGACTAAAATAGATTACTTGAAGTACGGGTTTATTTTCCTTTCTAACATAACGTTATGGGGTTTTTTGTTCCATTCCTTAATTCTTCAGGCATTGTATTTACTTAATTTCCTTTTATACTAAGCCAGAGGTTTTCTGATATCTGTTAACAGGGTTTCACATTTATTTTATTTTATTTTTTTGAATGAATTATTTTTACATTCCTTTTTAATTTATTTTTTTTTTAAAATCAGTAAGACCCTGGCAAATATATAGCTGGACCCATATTTCACAGTGCTTATTGCTACTTCTTTAATTCAAATTGTGTCCAAAGCCATGTACATTACATAATGCCTACTTTATGAATACAATGGCAATCTATCATTACAAAGACTGCTAGAGAGTAGTTGTATTGACACTAACATTGAAGCAGGGCATGAAAAACATTATATGTAGCAAGAGTCAGTTTTATATAAATTTATGATTTTTGCAAAGCAAAGGTCAGGGTAACTTTTTCTGACTCAAGCAGGATTAATATATTAGCTAAACATGGGCAAGTTTGGCCTAGGATCGTGGAGCACAGCCAACTGAGAGCTGCTCTGGACATTTTTGTGGAGGTCTGATTTTTTAATTTTTTTTTTTTGGTAATGTGAGACGTCTTTGAAAGGCCTTCAGGCACTTTTTGGAGGAATCCAGAAGCCAAGAAGCACATTTCAGTCCCCATTGTGAGAGAAAATGCATTCAGATAATCTTCATACTGGGGCACATCAGTGATTGGGCCAGTCTTGATATTGCTGGACAAGTGGCAACCTACCATTGACACTTCATTTTTGGATAAACTCAAAGGAAAAGATTTTTGTTGTATTCTTCTTTCTGACAGGTGTCCTTGTGGACTTGGGCCTAGAAGACAATGGGACGGCATATCAGAGAGCCGAGAAATATGTGGTTCGGCTAGACAATGAGATTCAAACAAAATTTGAAATTTTCATGAGACGAGTGAAGCAGAATCCCTATACACTCTTTGTGCTGGTTCATGACAATGCCCACGTGGATTTAACAAGGTAGCTGCTTCAATCTACCAAAGGAAAATCATCCTCTTCCAGTATCGTCGAGTTAGTTACGTTTTTCAAAAGACTTACCATCTTAGACACCTGATGCTTTCTCTAGGCCTAAAGCATTGTGCCTCAAAATCAGAAATCATCTTTTTTTCTTGCCCATGATATTTGTTAATTAATTCTGATTCAGTTGAAGATAGGTGAGACTTGTTTCAGATTTTTGGATCCCCAACAAGATGACTGTAAGTGCTATGGTACTGAAGTCCAGGAAAAAGGGCTGAATTTTGCAACTTTCTGTGCTCTTCTTGTCTTTTTTCCTGTTTGCCTCCTTTTTCTCTACTCATGTTTTAATTCATGTTTTTATCTTTGACAATAATGTTGCTTTTAATATAAGAAGGCTTACAAACATTTAGCTCTCTGCATCATCTGAAAAATGTCCTAGCTGCTGTAAGAAAAGGATTTAAAAAACAGCTGTGTTGAATTTGGTCAGTGTTAGGTCTAACCAGAACAACACATACAAACACGTGCAGAAACATTTCTTCACACTGAATCACAACTTCACTATGGAAAAAGAACTGAGGAGAATAATCTTAATGTGATTTAGACATGGTATGTAAGGCTGTGGGATTAATTTGAATATCAGAGTTGTAATAAACAAAATACTTTCCTGGAAGGACAGATGAAAATAAATAAAAGCAACATTCTTCCTACCTTACCCTACCCATCACATTTTGGTTACTGTCTTTGCAGTACACTGAATTTGGAATTCCTGAATGTTCTGTAGACGAAGGTAATTCCAGGAAATGGAAATCAGAACATCAGGAGACTGTCAGGTTGCCCAGTCTTTCAGGAGAGTGTTTCAGGCTGGAAAAATCCACTGGATTTTATAAAATTGTTACTGTATGTTAACCCCCCAGCTCATGGAACAGTTTCTCAGTGAGAGGGATGTCATCAGCTTTGGCTTATTTTTGGTTTCCTACATCTGTTGCTCTTCTAAATTGGCACAATAATTCACTTTCTCACTGTCAGCAGATTTTGGTCCTCTGTTTAAGTTGGGGTTTTTTTCCCCATTGCCTGAGTCTGCCCACAGAAAACACCCATGGTTTTGACATCTTTCACCCTTCCAAAGAGTTTTTTTGAGCTGTAATTCTCAGTGCCGTGGTCATTTGGAGATTTTTCTGCAGGAGGAGAGTAATCCATTGCATCTCAGGATGTCAGTAAGGCAATTCTTTGCATTCTTATTTCTGCAGTGCCATTTCAAGTTCCCTGTCACATGGTGAGCCTAGTCATGGTCTGGCTGATAGAGTTATTAATTGCAGGGAGGTCCTTGAAGCATTCAACCTCCTTGTTCTTCAGGTCAGCTCTTTTCCTTATGCCTTGCAAACGCAGCAGTCCAGGATCAGCTCTAGCAATGAAGTACACTGGATACAATTTGACACCATGGTAAGTGTTTAATTGTCAATTTTAACTGTGAATTTTAATGTGGACATCACACCAAACAGAATCTAGCAGATGTGTATTACAGAAAAACGTTAGGAGGGAGCTCTTTCTCTGTTGGGGTTTGTTCTCTGAGGCTCTGGGTGCACAGCACTGGGCTGCGGATGATAGAGGTAGCATTGACATTTAGGCCCAGAAACTACACGTTTTTCTTTGTCCAGGCATGTAATATGAGAAATTACTTTCCATGCTCTGGTCAGGCAAAACTACGTTGATGTGCCATAAAACTCATGAGCTGGCCTTCCATTTTTCAAGCAGACTGACTATTGACTGTAAGTTGTATGTCACATAGCCTGTCAAGTCTGTTCATTGCTTCTCTGGTACTAATAAAAGTTGTGTGCTAGGTTAACATTGTGCAGAGAAGAGGTGGGTAGGGTCTGTTGGACATTCTGCACCATTAGCTTTTCTCATCATTTCAGCCAGCTGATTCTGAGGACGTTTTAGCAAAACCTGCTTTAAAAATAGCCTTTTCTCCTATTCTTTGTTTGGTATGTTTATATCAAGTTTGACTTTACTGTGTTGAGTGGACCATTGGTTTCTGTAAAGTGTCTTAAAGTGGTAGTGGTAAAAAAGTTAAACAAACAGAATAGTGGAAATGAGGGAGTGAATGAATATTCAAAGTTTGCTTTTTGGTTGCTTGTTAATATAAGCCATTGTGGTGACCTTTTGTAAAATGGTCTACAGAATTTTTTGTTTCCCAAAAGTTAAAAAAACAACAACTTTCAGTCTTATGATTAAAAAAATAACCCACAAAAAAAAGGGGAGACTGCATGTGATTAACTATATTCCTAGTGATTACTCATGATGTAAATGCGCTGGAGACCATGCTGTGCTTCCAGCAAAGGCCTCATGAAACTTGAGGCAGCCTTTCTGATTGCTGACTGCAGATTGACATTCCAGCAAAGAAATTATCAGTTTCTGATTGCCATTAGAGATGTGTAGAATCTGACAGTCAAGAAGAATTTTGGAAATTAATAATCCTTCTGTTTTCAGGGTCTGCTTTAAATAGAAATGAGGTAACAGTTGTCAGTAGATATAAAGCCAGAGATAGGGAGTCAGAAAATAAGTAGCAGGATTCTAGAAACACCCTGCAATCACAGGTAGGAGATACATTGAAAAATTTGCAAGGACCTACACCTGTCTTTTCCTAGCTGTAGACAAATAATAAGTAAAAAACAATTAATGTTTTATTATATTCTTTGAAACAAACAAATAGCATCACTGAGGGAGAATGAATGAAAAGAAAGGATACTTTGCTTTGGAAAATACTTTCCACTTACTTGTTAATGACATAAGAAATGAAAATTGGTTCCAGTTTTCCTTACGTTTTTGCTATCTCTGTATGGAACAGGATGATGCAGCAAGTGAAGACAAGCTGTACTTTGGTTTGAATGAATACAGCAAATCCCTCCAATGGGGAGTCACAAGTCCCCTTCTGAGATGTGATGAAACCTTTGAAAAAATGGTCAACACACTTTTAGAAAGGTAAATAGACACATGGGAGCTTGGGATTCTGCTTAATTGGAATCTTAAGGATATAGATGATATATTTATGAGCCCCATCACAGGGGGATCAAGACGTGATGACCTCTGATGTTGATCTTGGAATCTGAGAAGTATGTGCAATTTTTATTTTTGTAACTAATTTAGTGCTGTTGAAGAAGGAAGGGATATCCTTCATTTGTTTATAGAAGAGATTAGGCCAACTCAGCAGCAGTCCAGGCTCAGCTGTGCTGCTCTCTTCTTTTGGCTTAGGCCGCACTAAGCTAAGAAGGTACTAGAGGTTTCATACCTCACCACTTGTGGTGTCTCCCTGCTGAAGCTGCCAACAAATTTTTCAGTGGTGGCCCAGGTGAGTGACATTATTTCAAAAAAGTCATTTTTATGGTTTCATTAGCTGGCTATGGTTTTGGTTCCTGCAGCTCAGAGCCTGAAAGTGGCTTATTAGTACCCTGCAGCTGCCAGAACAAGCTACTTTCATAGCACGTATCCAAGGTACAATTAAATGCACACATTACAGGAATGAAGGCAATACTGTGGTTCTCAGCGATGTGGAAATCTGTTCTATGTATCAGCAGGACAGATCGCTTATAACAGTTCAGGCTATAGTTCTCACTGTATTTTAATATTTACTGGAACAGGATTGTTCTGTCTTCACTACTGTTTTGCCTATTTTATTTAGGTCACTATAATTAATAATTGTAAATGTAGCTATATTTATTAAGTACAATGCCATATCAAGTATGTTAAATTAGCAACATGAATGAATAATTAAGTACATAGTAATAATATATAGATAGTATATTATCTACAAATATGTAAATAATGAATGTGATAAATAATAATAAGGTCAGTTAATAGGTCAGTTCTTTAAGCTTCTCATAGTCTTTCTGGCCAGGTCCAAAGGAAGAGATAGTGGTCACTGTTGCTCTCTTTCTGTTCTTAAAATGTGGATGGGGAAAAGGATGAAGGGGGATTAATGCATGTGCAAACACTGCCCTGATATGGGGTTAGGATAAGACTAGAAATTGGCAGGAGGTGAAGTTGTACCTTGGAGCCAGGATATGCTTTTGTGTCATGGTTTATTGATTTAGCTTCTCTTTTCAAGAAATTGGGTTATTCTGTCTGGGTGGGTGAGCCATTCAAGCATAGAAGTCTGAAAACATTGCAGACATTCTGGTCCATTTGTTTTAGTACCAAAAATGCAGTGGGTGCTTTTATGGGAGGAGGAGTGAAAAGTATTTTAAAACATTTAATGACTGGCATGTGGTATACAGGGCGAGCTACTGTGCCTGCTGGTTAAAGACAGACACAAAACTTTATTCAAATGGATCCCATATTGTCTATTAAATTACTCAAGAAAGAGAGCAGAGAAATTTGGAACTTTTAGTTGTTTTAGTCGTTTGAACTTCTGTGGTGAAGGACTAGCATGCAAGGCATAATAGCATAAGGTTTCTTCTGTATTATGGTGCTGAGTGAACTCATGGGGAATGTCTAGAAATGGAGTGCTTTTTTGCTTTAGTAGGTTTTAATCTTTTTTTTCTTAGCATTTTACTTTGTGAGTTCATATCTGTTGTCACAACATATAGCTGTAGTGAGAGAGAAAAAAGCATTGGCTATGTAAGTTAAAAGGCAAATTGGAAGTTCAAATTTGGCTCAGAGACAGCAATCCCCATTGGTAAGTCTAACTTTCTGGTGAGAGGCAGAGATGTGTGAAATTATGAAGTGCTTCTCCCACAAGTCACCTGAAGCAGTGATGGTCCTCTGAGTTCATAGAAGAGAAAAGCTTGTGGACAGCAAAGCAATTATTAGCCTGTGCTATGGATCTGCAATGATCTGTATCTCCATCAGTTAAAGATCTTTAGCTGAATTTTTGGCCCAAATGAAGACAGTTGAAGTTTATAATTCCTGTTACTTGCTTGCAGGGCTTGGCTCTCTCTCTTCTTCATTTGGACCATGTCATATTCATTTACTTAAACACAGTTAGATTCTGTGCAAAACTATTGTTGATGAAAGTCAAAGGCTACAGAAAAAAAAAATGGGCACTTCTTTACCTGTTTTTTGGCTAATTTTCAGGCATCGCTGTGATTTTACATGTGCTAACGCAGAACTGTGTCTCCTCAAAGGTACCCCCGGCTGCACAGCATGGTGATTCGCTGCTACCTTCTCATTCAGCAGTATTCCCAGGCTCTGATGGCTCTCACAACCATGGCCTCACTACGAGATCACAGCACACCTGAAACGCTCAGCATAATGGATGACCTTATTACTTCTCCAGGAAAGGATAAGAATGGCTGTGGCCACATGCTGGTCATTAGGGTGCCGTCTGTGCAGCTAGCCATGTTGGCCAAGGAGAGGTTGCAAGAAGTAAGAGACAAGCTAGGTCTGCAGTATCGTTTTGAGATCCTCCTTGGGAATCCTGCTTCAGAGCTTACTGTCGCGAAACACTTTGTGACACGGTTGAAGGTCAGCAGAAACTAAATACTTCTTTGTGTGCCCATTGTAGTCATCTGACTGTCATACACATTTTGTGTTCATTCCCACATGTTTATAGGTTAATTATTCTACAGGAAAAGAGTGCATGTTCTGTGTCTGTCTCTGTGGAAGTTTCCTGTACTTTTGATGAGCATAAATGATTTAGAAACTTGGAAGAAAATTGAATAGTTACTGGCCCATGAAGTCAAACACTGGATGTTATCTCTCTTGTTAAAGTTGGATAACAGCATGAGTCAGATAGGTTTCATCTCTGAATCTCAGAAAGCAGAGCTCAGATCTCCTTAGGCAAACTAATTCTTTCCACCAACTTGTATGTCTGTCTGTCTAGTGTATCTGTTGTCTGCTCTGTCCATCCATCTTTCGCTCTTCTGATAACTGGTATTCTGTTTGTCATAGACTTCTTTTCTTAAACCACTGCCTGCTGAAAGCCTCTTCTGCACAGCATATATGCACCAAGCTAAACTTTTGCATGGATTTATAAGAGCATGGTTCAGCCAGCCAAACCCACTGCCTGAATTAACCTCATGATGTTAAACAAAGGGAAACTTGATTGCTTGCCTTAGGTACCAGCCTGAAAGTAATACTGGTTATCTGTCCTGATCCTTGCTCAAAGTCTTGCTGAGAGATTAATTTTCTGTTTCTGCTATGAGTTATACAGTGTATTCAAAGCTACATAGAAAAGGAATGAATTTTGTGAGCCTTTCTTAAAGAGCTCGCCTAAAACCAAAAGCAGATAAGCTGTCCTTTAAAGAAACTACCACCTCTGCCTCTCAAACATTGTCTGCAAGAGAGGGAAGAGACGAAAGTAGTAGTCATGAAGGAGAAACCCATGTGTGAGATAGCAGCTCTGTGCTGCTGTTTTATTTTGGCTAGGCATTAATTCCAACCTTAAATTATTCTGGATTGTGAGTCCTGTGAGGGCTTCTTTATGGCCCTTTGCTGTAAAGGGTTGCAGCCCTTACACGTTGCTGGTGCAGCCTGTGAGGCCTTTAGTGCAGACCGGGATGGAGTGTGAAGCTGTTGCAGGTGAATATCCATGTAGCCATTGATCCTGAATAGAGGAACTTGATCAGGCAGAGAATGAAAAAGCTTCTACATAATTCTTCTTATTTCTCTCCCCCACAACATAAGATGCTTTTTGGGACTAAACAAAGATGTAGGATTCTGGACTTGTTTCTTTCCTTGCAGGTGACTAGGAAAAAAACACTCGGTTCTGAAACATGCATATGAAGGGAGCGAGGAGAGGAATTCAGTTGCCCAAAGATAAGCCTGCAGTGTCTTTTTTAGGTGGGTTATCCCAGTGGCACTCAAGAATGATGAAGGTCACCTGTGAGTCTTGTGCTGGGCTGCCGTACCTGCTCGTCTGGTGCCTGGGATAACACGGGGTCTCTGAAATGGTGCGGGCATATGTTTGGGCAACTGATTCCCGTTAAAAAATTCATCAGCCATGCTACCATTGAGCCTGGTTTATTGCAGACAATTTTGATTTAGTTCTCTGTGCTGCTTGGCTTTTCTTCTGACGTTAGTTACAGTACTGAAGCTGGAGATCTGGAGCAAGTGGGGAACTGATTTCTGCCTGCTTCCACTGTGAGGCCCTGGCCCTTTTTTTTTTACAAGGGGAGAGCAATATGAGGCTACTGAGCACTTTCTGGTGAGGCTGAGGCTCGAAATGCTGGTCCTACCAATAACTGCTGTTGCTTGCAGGGAGGATGAGACTTCATCCTGACCTTTTTCAGGGACAGGGAGGGAAACTTTATGACACCAATTGAAAAGTTTGGCTTAACTTAGCCTCTCCCTAAGAGGGCGTTAGCAGCACGTGTGGTGCTGCAGGAGGGCAGGGAGGGCAGGCAGCCATCCCTGCGGCACTGGGACCATTCCCCTCTCTGTCAGAGCAGCCCTCTGGCCAGCCAGCCAGGTCAGTCCTCCCCATCAGGGAGCTGGGCTTCAGGGGGGGATGGTACACTCAGAGGTACAGAATGAAAGAACAGATGGAAAATAACTTAAATAACTATTTTGTTGACTAGGCATGCTGTCATGGCATACCCCTTCAGTGTAACAAGAATCAAACCATTTGGGAAGCATTCAGAAGTGAAGAGCCCAGAGTGCTCTGTATGCAAGTTCACATCTCAAAGCTCCAGGCACTCAGGCTTCTTTGTAAGTCCTTAGGCTAGCAGAAAGTAAAGCAGCTTTGTATTTGTCTTCCCCTATTTCATTTTCTAGCTGTGCACTTTGCAGAAACTTCCATCACTGGAGGGGCAGGTTAACATACAGCCAGACTAACCCTGCCAAGACAAAAAATATCTCTCTGTTGCTGAGGTGCTTTACTGAGCCAGTAGATGTTGTTAGGTAGCAGGAGAAATAATTTTTTTCTGTGAATGTGTTACACAGAGGATACTGAAATCAGCAGGGGAAAGAAATCAGGACTGGCAAAAGAGAATAGAGACATAGCAGAAAAGGGGAACATTACTCAAAATTGTGCTCTTCCTAAGCTAAGAAAAAAATAATCCTAGGTTTTTTTCAAGTGAAATTTTCAAAATGTCAAATGGCACACTGAGTCACTGCTCTGCTAGTGAGTCCTCCTTTTCAATCCCCTTCATCTGCTGGAGAAGATTACTCATAAAATATGACCTTTCTGGGGAAGAGAAAGGGTAACAGGTCAAGGGTACAGGCTGAGACTAGAAGAACCAAGAGAGAATTCAAGATAGGGTTCTTCTTGCAAGGTATGCTTTCCACAAAGCTTGCGTAAGTCTTGATGCTCTGCCAAGAGAACTACGTCTCGTTGGCTTGCGCATCTGTGCTGAAAAGAGTAAAATACATATGTATTGTTTTTAGTGGGCATTTTGAGTGGTTGGGCTTGCTGTCGTGACTCAGCAAAGTAGGTTCTGTGCCTCAGCTAGGTAAGAGTCTTCTCCAGAACTGATTTTATCCATTATTAATAAGAAAGAAGGAAAAACTTTTTCCAGCAGGGTGATATGCTTAAATACTTGATGATTCTGTAACCATTAGGGTTTAATTTCCTTGCCTGGAGAGACCTTAATGTCTGATCAGCATGGAAATGTGAAGTCTCTGGGTTGTATGAAAAGGGCTTCTCTGCAATCTCCTGTCTTGCCTGGTCAGTGATCCAAGAGGCCATGTTGTCAGTTTTCCTGGCAGCACCCATAATGTATTGACAGGAATGGCTGGATATGAACCTGCATTTTTGCGTTTCAGCTTTATAATACAATTTCAGTGTTTGCAGAGATAGAATGGCTTGTTTACTTTCTATGTGGCAGTCTCCGAGTCTTTCAGCTTTACTTCATTTTAACAGTTGCTGTAGGGTGCCCATGTCTGTCTTGATCAAATACTGCCTGTATCACCTGGAAGTCTGGGCACTGTGCAACACAGCAAGAAAGACGTTGTTGCTCAAGACAGAGCAATATTTTTAGGAGGCTGCATCCAACACAGAGAACACAAATGGGCTCAGCCAGGTTCAGTAAGCTGTGCTGAACCAGGGGACTGAAGGGTGCAAGGACATGAGACTGACTAAGGTCTTGGTAGGAGTCCTTTCTTGTGGGATTACCTCCAGTGAAAGGGCATTTTTTTCCTTTCATATAATCCTTCATTATATAAAATAATTAAGCAAATATTTGAAGATCGTTGAATCATTTTCATACTCCACTTGAAGGTCTTACTTTAGCTTTACATTAATTTCAAAGAACTTTTGTCTGTACAAGCTTGAAATCGAAGGCATCAACTGCATATTTCTCTGACAGACCACACTAATACCGCACCAGGTGTATGTTTCCAGCACTGAATAACATATACTATGCATCCTTTTTCTGTGCATTTAATGCTTGGCTAACACTTAGCTATCTGAAAAAATGCATGCCCGTACCTAAGGTCTTCCTGTTGGCTGTTAGGTAAGTGAACTCTGTATACAAAGAAAAAGCAGGAACTGAAAAAAGACAGGTGATGGTTTAGAAGGTGCCATTTAAATGTAACTAGAAGTTTCTCTGTTCACAGGCTTGGAGAGGAAATGAGCAGGATGACTGGATCCCTCGCACCTATCAGGATTTGGAAGGTCTACCTTGCATTGTTATTCTAACTGGCAAGGACCCTCTAGGAGAAACTTTCCCCAGGTGCTATTAGTACTCTTGTAGTACGGTTGTTCTCTAACATGTTTCGATAAGTTGGGGGGTGGATAAGTGGTTTGATACCATCTGGCTATTTTTTCACAAAAAAGTGTATATTAGACTTTATTTGGGAACAGCTTAAAGTTTTGGAAAGTGCAATTTGTGAAAAGTAAAGCTACTGTACTGTGTGGGTCGATGAATGTCTGTGAAAAGTACCAAGGAGCATAACTTATGTACTGAATATTTTAAAATCATTTTGTATTTACTGGCTAATAAAATTGCTTGCGAATATTTAATAAGCAATTAAAGATAGGGAATATTCTTCAAAGTCAGAGCAAACAAAACTTTCTTTTTTCTTGGGTTGGGTTTTCTAGGTCATTGAAATACTGTGACCTTCGACTAATTGACTCAAGCTACTTAACTCGGACTGCATTAGAGCAAGAAGTAGGCCTGGCATGCTGCTATGTCTCGAAGGAGGCAATTCGAGGACCTATTGTAGCTCTCGACCTTAGTGAGAAGGAGCATGAGAAGGCTAATGGTAGCGAGAATGACTCTGATGAGCTGTTGATAGACTTGGACCGACCCCAGAGTAATAGCAGCGCTGTCACTGGAACCTCAGGTCAGTTATTCTCCTGTTGCTCTGAAAAACAAGTCTTCCTTCCTACGTCATTGGAATTTGAATGCAAACACTGAGATGTTTAGTCAAATTGGATTCTTTCCACAGTGAGCAATTTCCCTATGTACAGCTAAAAGGGGATGGTGTTGCAATGGAAGGATGGTATGCCATAGCTAAGGGTCCCTTGTGACTTTTATTTTTAAACTTCTGTTTCGCATTTGTTGCTAATTTTGTCCTGTGGATCCTGAAAAGATCTTAAAAATCAGAGTAGAAATGGATAGTATAAAATTCTAGGAATAGAAAAATGCTCTGTAAGTGTGGGGGTAGCTGTGGGTGAGGATGCCTATTCGCCTCCTTGCCAAGACCAGCGGAATCGCTGGGTCTTGCCCTACCTCTTCAGCCATCAATGGAGCCTCATCTCCCACCAAGCCTTCTCTTCCTTGCATTCCTCAGGCACTTCTGCATCCTTCCCTTTGTTTCCCTATGAGTTTGAGGTATTAAGACCGCTGAATTGGCCCTTTGCCGTACATCAGATCTTCCCATACACTAACGAAACCTGACTGGCGTGGAGGAGGGAGCATAGCCCAGTTCCCATTAAATTTGCAGTGAAATAAATGCTCTGTTTCTCCATAGAAAGGAAGGTCAAATTGATCTATGTATACAGTGGTGTGCTATACTTGAATTTCAGAAGGTTGTACCATCAAATTTCAGATCCCACATGGGAAATGATAGGTAGCACACAGGGACTCAGGGTGGGACACTTGTGTTCAGCCTGAAGAAAAGACTGAGAGGGGACCTCATCAATAAACACAAATATCTTAAGGGTGGAAGTCACGAGGATGGAGCCAGATTCTTTGCAGTGGTGTCTAGCAACAGGACAAGGGGCAATGGGTACAAACTGAAACGTAAGAGGTTTCAGTTGTATATGAGGAAAAACTTCTTTACTCTGAGGGTGACAGAGCACTGGAACAGGCTGCCCAGGGGGGTTGTGGAGTCTCCTTCTCTGGAGATATTCAAAGCCCGCCTGGACGAAGTCCTGTGTAACCTGCTCTAGGAAAACCTGCTTTAGCAGGGGGGTTGGACTAGATGATCTCCTGAGGTCCCTTCCAACCCTTGCGATTCTGTGATTCTGTGTTTGGACTCTGAACCCTAGCAGAAGGGCTGTTGCCTCTTCAGCAAGAGGGACAGATGGATGTCAATGATTACTTTTTGAATGGTGAAACACTGACCTTATCCATGGCAGCACTCATTGAACAGAAGGATTTGTGTGTTATGATCATCCCATAATCAAATGAGTTCATGATTTTCTTATGTTGGCCAGTATCTGTTCATTGCCTGCTCTTTGTTCCCCAGGTTCCCTGGCGGACAATGGCGTGAGCTCCTCGAGTGCTGCAGACAAGTCTCAGAAGCAAGCACCGTCGTTTAACTTTCAGACTGTGGCACACAGCTCAGTAGACGAGGGGACTTACCCCAGTTTCACAACTGGAGAGACCCTGAAACAAGAATGCGACTCCCTGGGTAACCAGATGGCGAGCAGCACCACTTCGAAACTATCATCACTGTCTTCGGTCTCCCAGGCATTTCAGTGGCCGGCCCATTCGGCCAAAGACAGCAAAACCCTCCGTGCTGCACTGCCTCGCATTGTCATCCTGTCAAAAGCTGCCTACTGTCTCCTGAGCTCACATAAAAGTGGGAATTTGCCTTCTTCCTCTTCCCTCCTGCCTCATGCTGACGTGTCTTGGCTGAGCTCTCTGAGGCCGCTGCTTCACAAGGACATGAGCAGCGAAGAGCAGTCTCTCTACTACAGGCAGTGGACGACAGCCCGACAGCACCACGCGGACTTCAGCAATCAGGGTGAGACGTCTGGCTCGAGGAGTTTTCACCCCAGGCGGCTGCTTTTGACAGGACCACCACAAGTAAGAGAACAGTTCCTTCCTCTTGCCTTATTAGCCGGATGAGAGGACGGATGATGAGGACTGCAGATTGTACTGTAAAGGCCCCCTGCAAGGTTGCATGCAGTAATATGTTCTGAGGTCAAAAACCAGTCAAATTTTAAGGTTAAGTCCATGCTGGAAGCGGTAAGGAGAGGAAGAGTGATGCTGTATGTCAAGTTTTAGCCTAAATGAATTACGTGTGGATGGCACTGGGCATAAAATTGCCATGAGCAGAGAAGCGGTTATCACTGCCAATCTCCCTGCGTACAAAAGCGATACAGGCTGTGGGCCAGGTTTTGCTCGCAGATCCATTTTGTAATACTGTTCAGCATAATGGGGAATATTACGTCTTGTTATGTTCTCAGGCAGAGCTAGAAAGGGGTAAGCCCAAAGGCAGTTACCTGAAACGTATCCTTCCTTCGTATTAGTCTGAGTTGGGATTTGGACTTTTTTTCCATCTCTGGCTCAGGTGGGAAAGACTGGCTCATACTTGCAGTTCCTAAGGATTCTCTTCCGCATGCTGATCCGGTTGCTGGAAGTAGATGTGTACGATGAAGAAGAGATTAATGCCAGTAAGTATTTAGCAGTCATTCTTAATATGCGTTATAGAGAGCCTCTGTTATGTATTATTCAGCAATGACAAATTTTTAGGCTCAGGGAAAGACTGTAAATTGCACCTACCACTTGTCCTGTCCATTAGTGTGTAGCTAAACTTACTGCAGGTGTCTGCATATATTTAAATATAGATGAATAAAACCGTAAATTTTCTATTGGGCTTAGCTGAGAACTATTAAATGTGTTTTGGATTGATATATTTGGATAGCGCTAAAATGAAAGTGAACACAAAACTGTAAATGGGCAGCATCTGCCCATGTCGTCTCTCTCCTTGCTAGTTTTTAAGCTCTGGCTGCTTTTAAGCAGGCAAGACATTTAACAACATTTCAATTCTGGATGAAATATCACTATTATTTATGTTTAATTATAAATTAGTTACCAATTTTCAGTAAGACTGTCTTTTCTGTCTGCAGTTTACGTATCTTATGCTGAGGAAAAAGAGGAGGGGGGAGCCTCTTTGGATTTGCACTCATTTGTCAGATCTCATGGATCCATTAACTGCTGTGGCAGGACTTGAGGCGCACAAGCCCTTTTAAAAATGAGTCCTCTTCAGGGTGTTCTTTACATAACTCAGTGGTCTCGTAATGAAGATAACTCCGTGGTGCATAAATCCCGTGACCATTAGACTGTAGTTGTTGTCAAACCTTTGAAAAGACTAATGTATATTTCTGCTCAGAAAGTGCTATTAAATGAAAAAAAGATGCATTTTCCTTTGATTTGGAGCCTTGGGGACTCTTACTCTCTCATGATTTGAACTAAAGTACCCCAGAAACTTAGGATGAAATATCATACTGTAAGAGACGTTCTGCGGCACGCTGTCTAGCCTGCTGTGGTCACAGCAACGTGTCACACCCCTGCCAGGAATGCGTGGAACTCCCTCAGAAGAGCAGTTTGGGTTTGTTTGGGATTTTTGGTTGTGGCTTTTTTGCTCCCACTACTTCTGTTGGAATGCTTTTCCAGAGCCTTAGTGTTCTGATGATTGAAAATATTATTTTATTCTCTAACCCAAACATGTTCCTATCCCAATTATAAACATTCTCTTTGGGACCAAAAAAAATACTAATTTAATTTAAAATGCTTTTTCTCTTCTTTGATGTTTGCTTCTATGGTGTAGTCAGGCAGCGACCTTACCCTCTCTCAGCGTTCATCTAGGTAGCCTGGATGTTCTTAGAGGATCCTGACAGGCTCTTTATTCTCCTTATCAGTTTAGTAGCTCTTGCCTGCACATCTATTTTCAATTTATCTTTCTGTTACATGGGTGACCAGAACTGAATGTGGTATTCTGCAGGATGTTTAACCAACCCGCTGTACAACAGCTCATGTATTCCCCTGCCCCCACTGAAAGCCCTATGATTGATGAAACCTGTGATTGCACTTGTCTTTTCCATTCTCCCGTTTCACTGGCACTGATACGTAGCTTGTACTCACAGGTTCCTCTGCAACTCAGTCGTTTCCAACCGAGGTGCTCCCAACCTGCTGCAGAAATGCTTGTTGTTAGTCCTTGATTATACATATGACTCTCATTTTTCTGTTAAATATCATCCAGTCTCTGTTGTTACAGTTTTCGAAGGCTTTGAATTCTCTCTGGTTGAGCTTTGATTCACTCTTCATATTGACATTGACTCTTGAGTGTGTGTTGTGGTTTAACCCCAAATGGCAACTCAGCCCCACCCAGCTACTCGCTCATTCCCCCTGGTGGGATGGGGGAGAGAATTGGAAGGGTAAGAGTGAAAAAACTCGTGGGTTGAGATAAAGACAGTTTAATAGGTAAAGCAAAAGCCGTGCACACAAGCAAAGCAAAACAAGGCATTCATTCACTGCTTCCCATGGGCAGGCAGGCAGGAAAGTCATCCACAGGAAAGCAGGGCTCCATCACGTTGGGGTCAGCTGTCCCGGCTGTGCCCACTCCCAGCTTCTTGTGTTCCCCCAGCCTCCTCGCTGGTGGGTTGGGGTGAGAAGCAGAAAAGGCCTTGGCTCTGTGTAAGCTCTGCTCAGCAGTAATGAAAACATCCCTGAATTATCAACACTGTTTCCAGCAGAAATCCAAAACGTAGCCTCATACGAGCTACTATGAAGAAAATTAACTCTCTCCCAGCCAAAACCAGCACAGGTGCCACCAGCAAACTTAAGCCAATGGTTTTTTTGAGTTGGTGACTTTAGTGAAAATATTAATCAACTATGCCCCTCTAGTGATCTTTTAACTTCACTGGTAATCTCCATCTGCCTTAATGCTTATGGTGTTACATGCTGCCATCTTCTGTTTAATCAGCTTGTTCAATTTACAGACCATTCACTGTCTCCATTTTCTTCAGTTGTATTAATAACTTGTCATATGGGATCATATCAAATACTTTACTGAAGTCCAGAAGGGTAAGGTGCGTTTCCTTTCCTTTGTTTAGAGAAATAGATATATCATAGCTGTATAATGAAAGCAACACAGGATTTCTTTGGTCAACACATGTTGCATTTTATTATTTTTCTTTTAATTCAACATCCTCAATTATTTCCTTCACCCTCCCCAAGTTTTGAATCTTACCAAAGTCAAAGTAGTGGACCCAGAGCTCCGTAGATTACTGTATCTCCTCTTAAATGGTAATAATATATGCACTGTGCTTACATTGAAATCAGGCTCCTGCCTGATTTCCCATACCTGTTCTTTCAAAAAACTGGCATGGAGATTATTCTTTCTCTCTGTTTTGAGTGTGTATCAAGATTTTAGAGTTTTGTTTCCAACTTGGCTTATAGGAAAACTTTTATTCCCTTGAAAACATAATCGTCAAAGTAAAAAGCAAATTAATAATAATTTACATAGTTGAGGTGATATAGCAAAGAAAATTGTTATTTGTTTTCATGCACTTTTCTGAGGTCTACCTCAGCTGGACATTGGGCAAAGCTCATTATATCTTACGCTTGTTGATATTTAAGACAAAACTTCATTTGCTGTTGAGCTTTTTCCATTCCTCACGGCCTATCTTCATTCTTAGTGTCCTTCCTGATGCAGTCCCTCTGAAGCCCCTTCCTCCTGGAGTTTTTATTTTGCTCGGTATGCTGGGTGCTGGTTGGCTGGCAACTGTGATTCCAAGAAGCCCAAGTCTCATTCATAGGCAAGTCCCTGGTTTTCTCAGGCCGGCTGACTTACAGGGCTGGCTCTCTCTCAGGATTTGTCTGTATGGACAAATAGACCTCACCTGACCGGCAGCGTATGTTAATTCGAGCACGCCACGGTGCCATTGAGGTTAATGGCCTCTCAGCTGCTGCTGGCTGACATCCTCTTGGGTCAGTCTGGGTAGGGTGAGCGTGTGCTTGTCTGTAGACCCAGCCTTCGTTTTCATCTGAGTTTGCTGTTCTGAAATCAATAACCTCAGTTACACACCTACTTCTGTGTGTTCTTCCGTCTCATTTTCAATGGGATCAACTCATGTTCAAGCTGCAGTCCAAGGTCGTTGTCCTTGGCCAGTGCTTTCTAATGTTCCCATTATTTACACTTGATTTTCTACCTTAGGCTTTCCTCTGTTGGATCAAAGCAGAGAAGTTCCAGTTGATCCTTGCTGGCCACATCCCATTCTCTAACAGGAGCATGTCTTTTACTGCCTTCATCATGTGCCATCAGCTCCTAGTCCATAACTTTATACAGCCTCTTTCTCCTTGCCTTCACCCGTCTGCCCTTGGATACTTTTGCTTCTTGTTTACCCAACGCTCCTCATTTTGTGTACTAAAGACAGAACCACAGAGAGGCTCGAGACTCCACCTCTATCTTCTGCACGGATAGGACTGTTCATTGGAGCATTTTCTGCATAAACCAGAGTGAATTATACCTCAGCAGCTCGATGAGGAGCAGAGCAGGAAGATACCTGTGATTCTCCTTTGCTTGTTTACGTTTTCCAAGAAATAGCTGTTTCTTCGAAATGGCTTTTTTGTAGATAATAATTTCAATTTTGCTAATATTTATGACGTTCAGAGAGGTCTCTCTTTTTGTGTCTGTGCACCCATGTGAGTTACTGTGCAACTGTAAATCAGCAAACGTCACATAAACACCGTTTGGTGGGTATCTGATGCGGCTCACCTGAAGTGTGTTGTTGCAGGTCATACGGAAAACGGTGAAATCACTCAGTCTAGCAATGACCACTGGCCAGATATTGAGATCTTCAGCAAAATGTCTTTTGACCTGAATGTACATGACCCCAAGTATAGAACTATAAGTCCCGTGTACACAGAACAACTGTCAAGAGTGAAACAAGGTAAGCAGAGTTTTTTAGGACTACTTTCCTACAAAGAGTCAGGTTTTATTGGTTTGATTGAACACATGAGTTCACAAGAGCCTTTAATCTCCAAAATGAAATGAAACAGAACAATTTGTGTATTTGTTGTGGTTTAACTCAGCAGGCAGCGGAACACCACACAGCCACTCGCTCACCCTCCCCTCACCCCTCAGTGGGATGGGGGAGAGAATCGGGGGGAAAAAAGTAAAACCCGTGGGTTGAGGTAAAGATAGTTTAATAAAACAACAACAATAGCAATAGTAAGAGAATATACAGAATATACAAAACAAGTGATGCACAATGCAATTGCTCACCACCCGCTGACCGATGCCCAGCCCGTCCCAAGCAGCGATCCCTCTCCCCCTGACTAACTGCCCCCGAGCAGGATGTCATAGGGTCTGGAATAGCCCTTTGGCCAGCTGGGGCCAGCTGTCCTGGCTGTGCCCCCTCCCAGCTTCTTGTGCACCTGGCAGAGCAGGGGAAGCTGAAACGTCCTTGATTAGCATAAGCACTGCTTAGCAACAACGAAACCATCAGTGAGTTATCAACATTCTTCTAGTATTAAATCCAAAACACAGTGCTATGCCAGCTACTAGGAAGAAAATTGACTGTATCCCAGCCAAAACCGGGACAGCGTTCTGTACAATTGTGACTGGGATCACAGTCTTTGTTTTTAACACTCATAAAATTTCTGTTTTCTTTGTGCACAGAAACAAGCAAAGAAACGAAATCAGAGGAACCTAAGAAAAGGGAGACCGTGTCGATGATGTTGACTAAATATGCAGCTTACAATACGTTCCATCACTGTGAGCAGTGCCATCAGTACATGGACATTAATCCTGCCGTGCAGGTCGGTGTCAAGGTCCAGGGTAAAGTGCAGCCTTGATTTTTTCCTGTGGTCTCTCCAGGCGTCTCTGGTCTCAGGACTCATTCTTTCACCTTCCCTGAGATGGAATTGTTTAATTCTACCGTTCTCAGGGGAGGTATTGTGCTACAGGCCCTGGAGCATCAACTGTGTCTGCTGTGTTCTGCATGAGCAGTTCTCCTCTCCAGCTGCCTCTGACAAAGGGTGACTCTGGTGACGAGCTGTCTCAAGCCAAAGCATTATTCAGCCTGCCCAGCGGGTTCGCAGTGTCTCGTGGGAGAGGACTGTAAAATTGAGAGATGCTTCTCTTCTTACCTAAATGCCAGCCATCCATACCTGTGATGGGAGACTGGAAGGCCTACTTCTTCTTCCCTTAGTATGTAACTGTGCGTGCTTCTCAGCAGTAGCTTATCAGTCACTAGCCAAAAATGATCAGGTTTTACTGTTTAGTTAAAAAACTTTTCATGTCTAAAACAAACAATTATATGCTCACAGGAGGCCGTCAGGTAAGATTATTCCCGGTTAATAGCTCAGACATCATTTCTTAACAACCACCAATAGTTACTTGGATGTTTCTTACCTCCAATCGTTCCTTGCTTGCTGATCTTTTCCAACAGCTTGCTATTAACCTAACACAGCACAGACCCGCTGACCTGGCAAGGTGCAATGTCAGTTACCTTGGAGCAGCGCCAGCACATCTGATTTAAACCTTCATTAAGTACGTTGACACGAGCAGATCCTCCCAAAGGGCATCTGTTGTTCCCTCCACTCATCTTTGTGCATGTGGTCAAACGTAACGACTCGTAATAAACGCAAATATCTGCTTGTAGGTGCAGGTGTGAGTTGTGTGTATAGAATTATGGTGATTGAACTCAGAGAAATTACACATCTAAAGGGGGAGTCACTGGATAGCAGGCATTACGATGCCTTGAGAGATTCTTCAGTGCTTTAACAGAACCTAAATAAAACCCCTTTCATTTTTCATCTTTACTGAGGCTAATTACTTCAATTCTTTAGTAAAGATTACAGAAAGATGACTGCTAAGAGTAAATGGTTTGACCTTGTAGTAAGACAGATGCTTCTGTAAGATGAAATCTTACCCGACACGTAGGCACTTTGTATACACTTACACGGTTCAGTGAAACACCGTGCAAACTTAAGCTCACCCAAATTCTTCGTAGCCTTGTGAATGGTGTGGCCTGCCTTGGTTACCTCGCTGCTTGGAAGAGTATGGCTGCAGGAAAAACACCGCACTAAGGC